GAGCTGAATCGGTATACTCATAGATTCCTGGTAATTTCTTTGTTAAAAGAGAAATATGCCTATGCCTAACTGATGTCTGCCTGCCCCCCCCCCCGTGGTGTTTAGATAGGGGAGAGAGAGAAGGAGGGAGAGAGAGAAGGAGGGAGAGAGAGAGAAAAACATATGTATACATTTGCTTTTGTGCCTACAGTACTCCTTTGAATTCCCACTTCCAGTTTTAAAAGTTTCACAACTGGAGGCTTATGGATAATTGCTTCAATGATGCGTGTAGCTGAAAAGAATTTTATTTTGGATTTAATGGTAATAGAAACTCAACACTGGCAGTGAAATAACAAATCTGAAGCTTCAGCTGGAGAGGAACTACACATAGTGAATGACTGGCATGTGAAATCCAATGTTTCTCATCAGTATAGATTTTCTTCAGACAACTTTCTTGCATCCCCAGGGATTTTAGCAATCCCAATTGCTAACAATGTGACTGAGTGAAAGCATTATTATAAAATTATACTATAGGAATTCTTTCTGTCATGCTTTCACTACAGTCCCCCCTCCCCCCAAAAAAACAATAACAACAACACCAATGATGTCTGGCTATAGAATGAGAATCTCATTTTTGAAGACGGATATGGGACTGAAAAAAATTGAGCCCTAACCTCAACCTTTTTGTCCAGAAGCAATGCTTCTTCCCCTACTCAAAAATTAGGGTTTAAACATACCTAAATTTATCTAATGCGTTTTTTTAAAAAAAATTGATTGTAGATTAGGGTCACATCACTGAGACTTAGATGTTGTTATCCCACAGATACCAATTAGATTTTAGAATATCTACCAAAGTTATAAAATAGTATTTGCTTTTCTAATAATCTCTTTCAACATAGATTTCTTTTAAGGTCAGATCATATTTTAAGTCTTTCTTAGAGAAGTTCCCTAAGACTTCCCAAAAAATGTGTCAACTGTGTAAAATGAAATATGTATGAGACATGTACAGTTCTGCATATTGGAGAAACAAAACAACCACTTGAGCCTTGATAGTACAGTGGTATAAGCACCCTGTTATTAACACAGCTGCCTGCAATTTACTGCTGGTTCGACTCTCTCCAAGGCTCAAGGTTGACTCAGCCTTCCATCCTTTCTAAGGTAGGTGAAATGAGGACCCAGTTTGTGGGGGCAATAAGCTGACTTTGTATAAATATACAAAAGTATGAAGGCTATTGCTTAACGCATTGTAAGCCGCCCTAAGTCTCTGGAGAAGGGTGGCATATAAATCAAATTTAAAAAAAAAAACTTCACAAATGCATGACACAACATAGGAGAACAAACCCACCAGGACAAGATTCAACAGTCAATCTGCATTTGAAAGACAAAGGTCACTCTTTGGAAAACAGCAAAGTCCACCACATTCAGGACAGGGAAGACTACTGATTTGAAAGAGGGGTCAAAGAGACTATCTACAATAAGATTGGACAGCCCCATCTCAACAGAGAGTGAGGGATACAACACCTCCTATCCAGAGGTGGGTTTCAGCAGGTTCTGATCAGTTCTGGAGAACTGGTAGCGAAAATTTTGAGTAGTTCAGAGAACCAGTAGTAAAAATTCTAACTGGCCCCACCCCCATCTATTCTCTGCCTCCCAAGTTCCAACTGATTGGGAGGAAATGGGGATTTTGCAGTAACCTTCCCCTGAATTGGGGAGGGAATGGAGATTTTACAGTATCCTTCCCCTGCCATGCCCATCAAGCCATGCCCATCATGCCATGTCACGCCCACCAAGCCACACCCACAGAACTGGTGGTAAAAAAATTTGAAACCCACACTGGTCCTATCTCCTGTTTACAACACAGTCCTTTCAGCAATTCCAAGAAGGCTTCACAGCCATTTGAACTATTCAGGTGACCCTAAAGGCACAGATAAACCTCCAAGTGTCCTCAACCACTATCAGAATGAGTGTCAATGACAAGATGACTGCAAGGATTACAAATCCTTCCATCTTCCAACATTCAATCAGAACTGAAGAAGCATCTTGGATGAGAAGCAAAAGGTCTTCAAGGAAAAACAAAGTCCAGCTGCCTTTTTTGAAAAAGAACCTTTGGAACAAACATGACCTGAATAACTGAGAAAATCCATAGACATCAGCTTGAAAGATCGTTATATTAAAGGGTTGTCCACAAAGTGTAATTGATATTATTCAGTCATTAATTGCATTATAGCCAAGTACCACTTTTGCTATAAACTTCCTAACTAGAAAAGTAATGCCATTCCTTCTTTGTTTTTCATGACCTGAATAATAAACTTCAATCTGATTGAAACTGTGCAATCTAGTCTATTTACTGGTGGCATGTCAATTTGTAGTTATTTCATTTATTTTTTTCATTGGACTGAGCTTTTCTATGAACATAGATCATTTCTATGATCTATGTTCTAGATCCCATGTTCCCATAATCTTAGTAGCTTCAGATTTTATTTTATTTTATTTATTTTATGTTATGTTATTATTTTCTTTTATTTATTATTTTCTTTTTTGCTTGATGGCAACATCAATAGCTAGATGTCCCAAAGGCTTTAGTCCAGCTATGTCATAAACATATTTAGTACAGTGGCACCTTGTCACACATCGTTAATTGGTTCTAGGATGTGTGACTAAAAAGGATGAGTCCCAAAAACAAACCATATGATTTAATATTTCTAGGTTCTTGTCGCAAGAGGAAGGAATTATCGCCAAGTACCACAGGCAGAGATATGAAGTCAGCTGAACTTGCACTTGTGCACCAATGCACAATTTCTGTTTTATTTACCATTGTTATATATCACTGTTATTCCTTGTAGCAAATTATTACCTAATTATTTAAGTAAAACATAAGAAAACAAGCTATTTTTTGTATGTTTCCATAAAAGCCAAAAGAAACTCTAAAATGTTCAAATCAATTAAGTTTCCTTGTCTACTTTCTCAGCAGACGACTGTCTTCTCTGGCAACATGAGAATTCTTCTCTGCTGGAAAAGTATAGTCCTAGTAAACTCCTGAGACTGCAGCCTGCAGCAATGGAGCAAAACCTTGACTGATTTCTTGTGGGAGTTTTTGATATAAATTTCAAGGGATGAAGCATTTCTTAAGACTTAATGAACTGGCCAACATTGGATCAAAATGTTCAAAGTCTGAAACTTGTACACTACCATTACACTTTCCAGTCTGGAAAGCCAAAATTAAATAGAAAATCAGGATTACACTGGATATGTTTCAGAGTGGGAAACAGAAGAGTATACATCTTTGTTCTCGGATGTCTTTGCAGATTGCATTTGTTTTTATTAAAAATAAGTACAAAATTGTTTTTGTACTATTGGCCAATTTAGGGCAATATTGTCTGCTTTGTTTTCCAGTAAACCTTCAAAGAATCTTGAAAGTCTTATGCACAGTATGCGTTCCAATTCTTAAGACAGGTTGTTCATGGAAACCTTACTATAAGCAGCATGGGATAAGCATCAGGTGATCAACAAAGCCACAGGAAAACCTGTCTAATGGGTTTAATGTGCTTTCAAAGACGAGCCTCACTTTAATTTTCAACTTGCCTTTTGCAATTTTTAATGCCTAATTTGTACTAAATGTTGGATACAAAAGTTGCATATTTGCTGTCTATAGATGAGGGAAGAAACAGCTATAGGGTAGAAACATCATGAGTAGGTTCACACACAGTCTACATGATAAGGCTTAGAACAGCCCATGGCCCCAATTTAGGCGCAGGTTTGTCCCAATTCCCATACATCAAATCATATCAAATCACATCAACCTTTATTAGGGCCAAAGACCAGTATAAGAAAGGTGGCGTACAAAAAAATATAAACAATACAAATATAAAACCACATAAAAAGCTAAAAAAAAAAATAAACATTAAAATATTTAAACAATCTAAAAGGAGGGATAAAAACAATAAGAGGACATAAAACACGGTAAATTGAAACTAATATAAATAATTAAAAACTTCATAATGGTCATTAAAACTGACTTCTGACACAGGTCATTTTCTGACATATTTCAAGTGTTGCAACACAGAATCTGGCTACATTGTACATTGTAGCAGGGTTTGTATGAATGCATCAGGGAAGTGTAGAATTGTCCTGTAAGCCCTGGATATATATGAACCATAATAATGCTGAAATAAAGCTATTATGAATATCTCTAAGCATTGAAGAAGCTGATACTCTATTGTTTCTGTACATCCATTGTCTCTCTGGATGGGGAATCTTCACATATCAGCTATCAAGGAGAGCTGAGGGGAAGAAGCAAGACACCCCGCCAGAATGAAGGCCCTTGGATACTTCAAGGTCTGTTAAGTCTGCCGTAAGGGAGGCAGAGTACCTGCTGGGTTCACACAGCGAAGAGTTCAATTCTATGTGTGGTGTGCAGCGATTAAAATAAGATGATGGGACAATATTTTTCAATCAAAACAAAAACATTAATCTATTGTAACTCTAATCTACTGTAACTCTTATAGTCATTTCAGTATTTTGGGCTTTCTCTTCATACTTATAATCATGATTTGTCACTTGTTGCTTGTATGTACTTATGCACCGGAGACAAATTCCTTGTATGTCCAATCACACTTGGCCAATAACGAATTCTCTTTTCTCTTCTCTTCTCTTCTCTTCTCTTCTCTTCTCTTCTCTTCTCTTCTCCTGTTCTATTCTATCCTATCCTATCCTATCCTATCCTATCCTATCCTATCCTATCCTATCCTATCCTATACTATACTATACTATACTATACTATACTATACTATACTATACTATACTATACTATACTATCTCACTCCACTCCACTCTGTATCTTTTATTGGGCCACTGACCTAAATGAAAAGAAAATAATAGAGGAAAATTTATGTTGTCCTAGGATGCAGGCAGGAGAAAGTCAGGTGGAGGTCCAATGAATCTCCTGCTGCTGGACTTCTCAGAGTCTTGAGAAAGATCAGACCCAACTCATGGCTTGCCTGATCCCAGGCACTTGTGCTTACATCATGATTAAACAAAGCAGAGTTTAGGGCGAGGGAGGTCCAGATCAAGAGGCCGAGTACTTCCTTTGCGTGCAGCGAGCGTGCTACTTCTGGGTCAAGCCGTTCTGCTTTGCCACGAGCCAGACCGGAGTGGGGGCGGGGGGGGCTCCCCAGCTCAGGCACAACAAGCTTCCCTTTGGACTCCACTCATGGCAAGGGCTGGCAAGTCCCGAGAAGGCTGTTCCAGCCCAGAGCCTGAGATCGCGAGCCAACCGCCGGCGCGCTCCGTTCCTCTCCCTTCCTCGGCAGCAGGCGCTCGGGCTGCGGGAGGCGGCTCCACCCCTTTCGGGTTGATCAGGTATGGGAAAGTTATTCGGAGTTCAAATATAACCCAACGCCTGGCCAGCTGCTCGGCCCACAGCCTCCACTTGGAAAAGCCCACCGGGCCAGAGAGAAGCAGTAACCCGATTCCCCCAAGCACCCCGGGCTCCGCCACTCCCCCTCTCGCGGCTCGGGCTCTAGCCAGGCGCGCCACACGCGAGAAGGCATGAGCGACGAAGCGGCGCCCAGAGCTTGGGGGTGAGTCGAATGACCGGGCGGGGTGGGGGATGGTGGGGATCGCTTGGGGTACCTCGGTTGGAAAGATGCGCCTGGGCTGCCTTCCTTCCCCCGATTGTCCCCTGGCCCCTTTGTCCGATTCCCTCGGCCTCCCTCGGCCAAGAGGTACCCACGGAAGAGACCCAACCTTTCTTGGGTCGGGGGACTGGCCAGGTCTACTGAGAGATGGGAGAGGCCCCCACGCGAGTCCCTCCTCCGAAATTTGAGGGACTGTAGCGAGAAGTTTTGGAAGAGGGGAGTAAACGCGAGTCGGGATAAGGCTCTCTGCGAAGGGTCCTCAGAGGTAACCGGCCCAGTCAATAAGAGGGCAGAGGCGTTGCGGGACACGGTCTTGGCTTAGATCCACGGTCTTGGATCGCCTTGCCTTTTGGAGCCCTTCCCTCTCCCGCTCCCGTTTTCCCTCCCAACCAGCCCTCCCTCCCCAAAAAACCAGCGAGCCGAGTGCGGAACCCCTGCCCGTTGGATTGTGCCACGGTGCTTTTATTGACCTAGAATACAATAGGAAGGAATTTGTCTTGGTGCATATGCTCTCAGTCTACATAAAAGGGCAAGATACATTCGTGAAGAACCATAAGGTACAACACTTGATGATAGTCACAGGGTACAAATAAGCCATCAGAAAACAATCAATATCAATATAAATCGTAAGGATACAAGCAACAAAGTTACTGCCATGCAGTCATAAGTGGGAGGAGATGGGTGATAAAGGTTTGAAGACTAATAGTAATAGTAATGCAGCCTTAGAAAATAGTATAGAATAGAATCCTGTTGGAAATTGTTGGAAATTACACACGACTTTCTGATTAGTTTTGGTTCCTTTACCGCTTCCTACCTCAAGTACCGTTGCACCTTGCCTTGTTGTTTAATCTAATGGTTCTTTACTTTTTTTAAAAAAAAGAGATGTTTTTTAAAGAAAGACACTTGCGTGCGTTTCTCGTACCGTTGGCACCGTGTCTGGTGTGTGTGTGTGTGTGTGTGTGTGGGTGGAGAGAGAGAGAGAGAGAGAGAGAGAGAGAGAGAGAGAGAGAGAGAGAAGCTCGGGGAGCGTATAACGGTATGAAACGTTAAACCTGGGAGATTTGTAATAGCTAAATGTCAAGGGCAGTTCCCGTCCTTTTCACCTACGTATTTGGAAAGGATCCTAGAAAAAACTCCTTTGCCAGCAGTTTGCGCTGCCTCGTAAACAGATCGCAGCGCCTCTGGACGCGGAGCCCGTTAGAAGCTGCATCCGCGGCGCGCTACAAATCTTGCCCAGCTCGGCTCCCCGGGGATGCCCCGCGCGCTCCCTTGGCCTTCCAGTCCTTTTCTTTCTAGCCTTCTAGACTGGCGCTGCCTTCCTCTTCGGTCTCTGCTGACCTGCCGAAACCCGGAGCCCCTTCGCGCCGGGATAAAAGGCTTTCATTTCCGTGCCTGCAACGACCGTCTGGGGGTGTCTTCCCTTCCCTTCCCATCTCCACCCCCCAAGCTCCCGACTGAAAGGCTCCGGCTGGAAAGTAGGTCGCTCAAAACTTGTCAGAGGAAACGCGGCTCGGATGCTTCTGTTTGGGGGAAAAGGGAATCTAGGAGTTGCAGCCGGTGCGGGATGGAAATATCTCTTGGTGCGAAGTTCTTGTTAGGTAGAGAAGTTGCCTTCCCTTCCCTTTCAAAGCCCGCCTGATGCAGAGAGCAGATCCCGCGAGGAGCAAGTGGATTTTGGGTCTCCTGAAAGCTTTCCTGAAGCAGTTAAAGAAAAGGCCCTTTGTGCTGGACTTCACTCCTCCCCAGGGAGAGTGAGACCATCCATCTAGACCAGGGGTCTCCAACCTTGGGAACTTTAAGCCTGGAGGACTTCAACTCAGGGGTGAAATCCAGCAGGTGCTGACAGGTTCTGGAGAACCGGTAGAAGAAATTTTGACTAGTTTGGAAAACCGGCAAATACCACCTTTGCCTTGCCCCAGAGTGGAGTGGGAATGGAGATTTTGCAATATCCTTCCCTAGGAGTGGGGAGGGAATGGGGATTCTGTAGTATCCTTCTCCTGCCAGGTCTACCAAGCCAGCCCACCAAGCCACACCATGCCCACCAAGCTATGCCCACAAAACCGGTAGTAAAAAAATTTGGATTTCACCACTGCTTCAAGACCCAGAATTCCCCAGCCAGCTTTGTTTTGAACTCTGAATTTTGAATTCTGGGAATTGAAGTTCTCCAGGCTTAAAGTTCCCAAGGTTGGAGATCCCTGATCTACACTAGGATATCTACCCCATCCAGTCTAAGAGGTCAAGGAAGCTGAAGTCTAACTGATTTGAAGAACACAGTTGGGAGGAGGCAGGCCTAAAATCTGGATGGTGGTTCACTTTGGGCTGAGATTCAAACCATGCAATATTGGCATCAAGCAATGGACAAGGTAATGAGTGGTTTTGCGCTTAAAGCCATCCTTTTGAGGCATGTTGCTCTTCTGAGGTGGCTTTAAGAACTCTAAACCACACACAAAAATAATGTCAACAAGAAAAAACCTTAGAGTTGACATTTTCCAGCCAAGTGCAGCACAATTTTTTTGCTAAACTGTGTTTGCAGAGTATTTGGTTTGTTATTTCAAGGAAGAAACCAGCAGCAATGGGCTTATATTTATCTCTTTGAAGAGGGAATTTGAAAAGGGGCACTTGGCACTCAGGCCAGAAACAAATAGCCTGTTTAAGTATTCATGGTACTGGACATATGTACTGTAATCTGAGGACCTACATCCCATAAATCTTCAGGCTGCCATAGTTCATTCACATTGCAGTTGTGAAATACTTTCACGTTGCCAACAGCCCATAATATGGGCTGATGCCATAATAGCATTTTGGATGTGCTGGTATGCAGGATATTGAATATATCTGTACAACATTTGGATAATTGGGACCACAGCTTTGGGTACTGATAACAAGAGACAGACAAAAAGAAAGCCTCTTTTGCTATCTTTCAATTTTAGCATTCTCTAATATAGATTACATGATCAGTGAAATCAATTGTTGGTTGTAGCTTATTCTGATCAAGTTTCATCATTTCACAAGTTTGTCACTTATTCCAAGCAAAAGTACTTATTCTGCAAAAGTATTTTTGGAATTCACAAACATCCAGTATGATTTGGGAATACCAATTCTTCACCATTACAAAAGATGACAACTTTGAGCAGATAAATAAAAAATTTCCCTTTACTTCATTTCTGGTCCAGATAAATTATCACTTGCTAATTTAGCTGTCTTTCAGGATGATTTTAATGTTTCAGGAATGCTGCACAAAGAGAAATTTGGAAGACTTGTGTGGTGTTTCTGACTCCCACCCTTTCACTGTATGTCACTTGTTTTATGCTCTTGTTTAAATAGAAGCATATCTATTTTTTCTATTATGTAGTCCTAAAACAAAAACATTTCATTTTAAAACTCAAAGTATAGTTATTGGAAGCTCTTAAAGTGTATCACGTACCCTGTAAACTTTTGAAAACTTCATTTAAATATTAATATTTAAAATTAAATATATATCAGCTCCTGCTGACCTAGCAGCTCGAAATCATGCAAATGTAAGTAGATAAATAGGCATCATTTTGATGGGAAAGTAACCGCATTCCATGTGCCTCTGGGTATAGTCATACTGGCCATTGAAATGTCTTTGGACAACACTGGATTCTCAGCTAGGAAACGGAGATGAGCACTACCTCCTAGATTCGGACATAACTGGACAAGAGAAACCCTTACCTTTATATGACCAAAATCTTGATTCTATTCCATAAAAGCATTATGTAGAATAACCTTCCCCAATTTGTGCTTTCTAGATATATTGTCCTTGCTAACCCAGGGTCTACATGATTGTGGAATGATGGATACACATTCAGTGCATAACTTGAAGTTATAAAAGATTGAAATAAAAGTAACTGTTTAGCTTTAGTTCTGAGGAAATGTGACCACAGATAGAAGACAACAGATGGTAAAAATAAAATCCAAAGGATATAATTGACATGTAGCTTTGCATTGTTAGCCTAGCTGGTCTTTGGTAGGACTGAGAGGCAAAATAGGATTCTATTAGAATCCTATGCTTATAGATAGAAGCAGTGGATGGAACAATGCTGGTAGTAGTAAGCAGTGGGAGGAAGAAGAGATAGTATGGAAAACTAAGTCAACATCAAAGCAGAAATGTAGGACCCATAGAACAGAAGTCATATCACAAAAGAACAAAAGCCAGAAGACATGCATTGTCCAGATGTCTTAATGAGCAGGCATCCATATAGAATAATGCTCACCTTACTCAGATACTTGCATTTAACCATGGAATAAACCATGGCAATATCTTTTTTTTTTCTGCTGTATCCTCAGGATGTTGCCTTCATCTCACCTCAGCCCATGAATGAAACAAACTGAAATATTTTATCACTGTTAAAGTGTCATTTCTTCCCATTGTTCTAACATCATCCAAAGGCAGACTCAAAATATAAAAAAATCTAATAGGCTGTGACACCCATTATATTGGGGAAAAATCAAGTGGTTGTCAGTAATTGGGAACAGAGGCAATGGACACTGCACATTTCATGCTGGCTTCATTTTCTGCTGACTCAAGGAGATCACACTTTAAGCAACAGGGAAGACTTGAAATATCCAGGCTGAACTTGCAGCACCTTGGATAGCTCTAAAGAGACAATTTACTGGAGCTCTTGAGACCTAGGATAGCATTGAGTGTCAATCTTATTTTTTCATGGCAAGTATCCCTAGTTTTCCTGATTCAGGTAATTCTTCCCTCAGAGGTGGAGAGTATCAATAAAAGTATGACAATGTAGAATAGAAATGATCAGATGGGATTTCTCCTCTCCCCCCCCCCATTCTTCATTCCATGCAGATGTGAGACTGTTATTGGCTAATTACAGGTCTGTGATAGATTCTTACAAGCTGTTCCTGTTATTAGTTCTTTGCAAATGATAGCATGTTCATTTTTAAAGCATTTCTTAAATGATAGGATCACATGCTTATGCTGCTTTGTTTTCCTTTTCAGTAAGTGTGGCCGATGGTGTAATTGTGAGGCCGTCATGACAGCATTTAAAGGCATCTGGACCAAGTCCTTCTGGAAGTCTGTGTCAGCAGAATTCTTGGCCATGCTCATTTTTGTTTTCCTCAGCCTTGGCTCTACAATCAACTGGGGTGGGATTGAAAAACCCTTGCCTGTGGACATGGTCCTTATTTCTCTGTGTTTTGGACTCAGCATTGCAACAATGGTCCAGTGCATTGGACATATCAGTGGTGGCCATATTAACCCTGCAGTGACCGTTGCAATGGTTTGCACTCGGAAGATCAGCCTTGCCAAGTCAGTTTTCTATATTGTAGCCCAATGCCTGGGTGCCATTGCAGGGGCAGGCTTACTCTATCTGGTCACACCATCAAGTGTAATTGGGGGACTGGGAGTTACCCAGGTAGGTTGAAAGAATGGAGAATTACCCTTTCTAATAAGACAGAATTCAAGCCTTGCAAGCAGATTTTAGCATTTGCTGAATGGGGAAAAGCAATTTCTTTTTGAAAATGGCTGAAGAACCTCTCCCTACTTGAGAGGGTGACTGATCCAAAGTCAGGCAATCAATTTGCATAGCTAAAGGTGGACTTGAAATTAGGTTCTCCTCCCCAGACTTAGTCCAATATCTTCACTAGACATTTTCTTTTCATATTAAAGACACTGTGCAGTAGCAATAGCAATAGCAATAGCACTTAGACTTATATACCGCTTCACAGTGCTTTTAGCCCTCTCTAAGCAGTTTACAGTGTCAGCATATTGCCCCCAACAATCTGGGTCCTCATTTTACCAACCTCAGAAGGATGGAAGGTTGAATCAACTTTGAGCTGGTGGGACTTGAACTGCCGAACTGCTGGCAATCGGCAGTCAGCAAATGTAGCCTGCAGTACTGCACTTTAACCACTGCGCCACCACAGCTCTTTGGTTGTGGGCCATGGTTGTGGGAGCAAACCATACCCACAGATATTAGATTGGGGATCCCAGAAAATGGTTTTAATTGATCTCTGTATTGGGGAACAATGCCCGGTTAATAAATTCAGAATAAAAAATGACACACATACCTATAAGTTTACAAAACAAATGATTTTCCAATGTGGACTCACATTCAGGTGAGTCACATTAATATACAAACAAACATTCTAAATCTCATTCATATTTTAGCATAGATTTTTGAACACGATCTGGATAACTTAAATTCATTCAGCATCTTTTTATTATTATAGATGATGATGATGTGGATGCCAAGGGCTAAAATGAATATAAGGTGTTTAGAATTATACAAACCTAATGAAAGTATTTTGAGAAACTGCTTTAAAATTTGAATAGCAGTTTCTCAAGTGGTTCATGTGATTATTTTTTAATTCAAAAGTGACCTTTTGATAAAACCCAGGCCCACATGGAATGTATTTCTTTGAACGGATTTAGAATGCCTTAAAGAAAAATGTTAATAAGAAACTTTGATAGGCAGGGTGCCCTGTGCCCCCTAAATCCATTCTTTACTGTAAACTAACTGCTAAATATTTCACAACAGTTATATGCATGTATCAGGTCCTAATAAACTGTGGGGGGCATATACAGTTTAACTTAAAGCAAGGAACTGTTTTTATTCGAATACATTTGAAGTAGCTTTTTGCAGTTTTTTTTAATTCTGTACTTAAGAATTGTTCCTTCGTAGATATTTCTAAGTAAAAAAAGAATTGATATAAGGTATAATATCCAGGCATGAAATATTTTAAGACAAAAGTATAAATATATTAAAACAAAAAAAGTGTATATTTAAGATAATGTTTTTTTAAAATAGACTTTGCTTTTGGTTCTAGCTTTGTTCTCTTCTATCAATTAACCTCACTGCAGGATATGAAACTGCACTTACATGCTGTCAATTTTTATTTGAAACTGAAATTAATTGAGTAAGAGCTAATTAATGGGTTCATAACAGAAAACTAAATCATGGATCTGCTGAAGAAAAAAAAATAGAAAAATACCTGTATTCTTAAGAATCTTGTTTGAAATTCCCATCAAAACCCAAGAAAGGAAGGGGGCTATTTTGTACATATACACATATAAATATAAATAAGGGCCACAGCTGATGTTAGGTTGCGTGTAAGGCTGTTGGTGGGTGTATGCATCACACAAACATATGTTCATCATGGTTTGGAGAATACATCACATTGGCTTAATTTACTACTGTCACCTACAGTATATAACGCAATGTGTCTATGGAGATTCTCAGTCATTCAGGACATTTAGCTTCTCATCTAAGAAGCTTCTTCAGTTCAGATGTGAAGAAGCTTTTTGGATGAGAAGCAAAACGTCTTCAAAGAAAAACAAGAAAGTCCAGTTGCCTCTTGAAAAAGTATCTTTGGGACACAATATATAAGCCATATTAGCTGGATCTACACTACAATCAGGCAAGCAAACCATCTCATGTTTAGAGCAGGGCTGTTCATGTGAAGACACAAAATACACATCTCAGTATCCCAACAATCCAATGGCTAATGAGCCTTTCAGAGCCACCTGTCAAGGAAGCCCAGATTACCCAAGAGGCTGTACTTAAAAGGCTTTTAACAGTGTATTATTTCCTTGCCTTATTCTATTTTCTTTCTTTCCACAACACTTATTTACTTTGAAACTGTTTTAATTAGCGGGTTGGTAATTACAATTTCACACTTTATTTATGCTGCCTGGCTCCCTGTGTGTTTCCTCTTCTAGATACATGCAGAACTTTCCAGTGGACATGGACTCTTGGTGGAGCTGATAATTACCTTCCAGCTGGTTTTTACTATTTTTGCCAGCTGTGATTCTAAGCGAAATGATGTCACTGGTTCTGTGGCATTGGCAATTGGACTATCGGTTGCAATAGGACATCTATTTGCTGTAAGTTGCTTCTTTCGTTAGCTTTTTTTAGCTAGGTACTTATAAATTATGTAGAGTAGCAATGTTCTAAGTAGCCTATTAGCTTATTATTGTGAAACCCATTTATGGTCAGAGGCTGTAACTTTCAGTTAATTATATTTAAAATATTTATACCCAAGCAAGTATATTTGGAATCATTTGAGTCAAATCTATATTAAAATTAATAATATTCTTATATGTTTCTCTTGCTCTTTGCATGTGTGTATAAATATACACAAAATATGTGTGTATGTATAAATATATAATTAATTTTATTTTATATTAATTTTTTTAGCTTACTTAGTATATGACTTGAAATAATGCTGGTTCACTTCATTGTTTAACAAACACCTAAAGTAAATAAATGAAAAAATATTATTTTTAATAATAATAATAATAACTACTACTACTACTATTTATTTATTTATTTATTTATTTATTTGTTTGTTTGTTTATTTATTTATTTAACCTGTATGCCACCGAACTCCTAATGATTCTGGGCAACTCTCTGTAATTACAATGGTATCAATCAAAGGGCAATGATGGCAAGCATAACAGACCAGAGGGAATGTGGGAAAGTCTTCAATACTTTTTCTGAACAACAACAGAATGGAGGCAATCCAGATCTTGGGGAAAACCTCATTTCAGACAGCAGGCATTGCAGATAGAAGGCATTGTACTTCTGGGAACCCAATGGATGACATTGTTTAATTGAAGGACCCTAGAGCATCCTAACCCACCCAGATTGAAGGGATTGGGAAGATACTATAGGGAACAGGCCAGTGGTGGGTTTAAATTTTTTTTACTACCGGTTCTGTGAGTGTGGCTTGATGGAGGTAGCATGGCTTGGTGGGCGTGGCAGGGGAAAGATACTGTAAAATCTCCATTCCCTCCCCACTCCAGGGGAAGTTTACTGCAAAATCCCCATTTCCTCCCGATCAGCTGGGACTTGGGAGGCAGAGAATAGATGGGGGTGGGGCCAATCAGAATTTTTACTACCGGTTCTCCGAATTACTCAAAATTTCCGCTACCAGTTCTCCAGAACTGGTCAGAACCTGCTGAAGCCCACCTCTGGAACAGGCAGTCCGTCAAGTAACTAGTATCCTTATGCTATATAAGGATATACTTGTGTGTGTATATGTCTGCGTGCATGCATACACATGCATATTTTGAAATTTATTTATTTATAATATTTATTTATTTATAGTATTTGTATCTGATGAACTGTGGCTCAGGTGCTATTCTATCAGACTGTTTAATTCATAGAACAATAACATGCTCATTTTTAACAGTGCAATGTATGAATCTACTTGTTGTCATTTAATGTCCCAATAGCCATATTTTTTATTGTTTTTTATTGTTTTAAAATGTTGTGAGTGTTTTAACTGTAATATATTTTTTGAATTGTACACTGCCCAGAGTCATTAACTGAAATGAGCAGCTATAGAAACTGAATGAATCAATGGGAAGGTAGCTAGGTAATAGGTAGGTAGGTAGGGAGGTAGGGAGGAAGGGAGGAAGGGAGGAAGGAAGGAAGGAAGGAAGGAAGGAAGGAAGGAAGGAAGGAAGGAAGGAAAGAAGGAAGGAAGAAAGGAAGGAAGGAAGGAAGGAAAACAGATGTCCCTTTCCAAAGCTGTAGAGAAAGCACAGTTCTTGGAAATGGTCTGTCTCTTTCTAAGTCCCTACAAAAATGTACATTGTGTCAAAGGTACTCTATCATCAAAACCTACGCTTATAAAATGAAGAAAGAATTAGAAAATGTGTTGCCAGTCAAATGGGAAGGGCTCAAAGGGCATTATCAGACATGAGTTCAGATGTCAAGTGTATTATGTAAAAAAAATGGTCCCTCATTTTACCTGCTCCAATAGAAAGAGCCCAGCAATGCCATCAACAGATCAGCAAGTTTCTTTTCCAAGCAGGTGAAAACCACACCTGGTAACCGTTTTCATCCACAAATATGCCCCTAAGGAAGGAGATGTATAAGAGTCCTAGAATTGGCATCCCTCACTTCAGTGCCACTGGAAAAGGATGATTCTATAAGAATTTTAACAGCATGTTTGCTTATGGTTAATAATATTCTTCCTTTCCAAATATTAATATATTTCTTTGTGTATACCTACTGCAGATCAGTTACACAGGGGCCAGCATGAACCCTGCTCGGTCATTTGGGCCTGCAGTTATCATGGGTAACTGGAAAGATCACTGGGTAAGTTATTATACATTAGTATTCCTTATTTTTCCAGAGCAAATAACTGTTATTTTGTTTGATTATTTTATAAAAAGGTAATAAATTATAAAGTGGCTTTTGTGTAAAAAAGCACAACCAGATTTTTTTTCTTTTTGTTTTGTAGATACCTTTCAATTTTTTAAGATTGGTAAATCAAGATTATTTTGGGGGTACTGCGCCTGTGGGGAAGGGGTCAAAAAGTCAAGATTGAAGCTCCACTGCTTGTTTACATTCACCATGCATGGGGCATATTAAAAAGAAGGCTTAGATTCCATAGTTGCAGTTTTCAGCTTGACTTTTTTTGGGGGGGAAATCCCACAGGTCTCTTTCCTATATTTGTAGTTTTCCATTATGAATCATAGACTTCATGATTAAGAAAACAGATTATGGTCCAATCAAAATTCTGAACACCAGTCATTCTTCATCCAATACATTTAACACATTTTCATCGAGGAAAGGCACAAGCAGTGGTGGGTTGCCCCCAGTTTAGACCGGTTCGCAAGAACTGGTAGTAAAACCAGCAGAAGGCTCCACCCACCGCCCCGGATGTCATCATAGGTGATCTGCACATGCGCAGAAGCTTCTAGTAAAGTAGAACCCACCCCTGGGCACAACGTATCATTGTGGAACAACATGGCAAGGACATCTTAAAAATGTGGTTAGTTTATCTGGGTTTGAGTATTTGTGCAGAAAGTATAGAAAAGATATCTACTGCTAAACCATAAAAGTTGGCTTTTGTATTTCCTTGTAGAAGTATGGGAGACGGTAACCAATCATGTTATTGCAAGCCATTTGCCAAAGGAACTTTACTATCTACCCTTTCATTTATTAGTCAGTTTTAATCCGCCTGTATCAAATTTCCTCTCCTTCTGATTTTGAACAGGTATATTGGCTGGGACCAATTATAGGAGCTGTCCTGGCAGGCGCTCTTTATCAATACGTCTATTGCCCTGATGATGACCTTAAGCACACGTTCAAGGAAACTCTTAGTAAGACAACCCAGCAATCCAAAGGAAAATACATTGAAGTAGAAGATCCCAAGAGCCAGAGGGAAACAGATGATCTACTCCAGAAACCTGGAATGGTCCACTTCATTGATCTTGAAAGGGGTGATGATAAGAAAGGAAGAGATCCTACCAATGAGGTGCTATCATCCGTATGACTAGCAAGAAGCACTGAAAACAGAGACCAGCCTGCCAGTATATCTACAGATGGTTTTCCACTTATAAAAGAAACAGATCTGTTGTGAGTTTGTCACTTGAGATAACTTTAAATGTTGGACAATATCATCAGTGAATTAGCTGTTTAATCAGATCGTATGTGAGATGATAGCATACATATATAACTAACAAGAACTAATGTTTATAATGAAGACAGAAGACAAAAGAAATAAGAAAAAAAGACATCCATTTTATGAAATTTGCTCCAAAATTCATATCTTCCAAAATTTTAAAAAATAGTTCAATTCTAATTTCTTCTTGGGAATCCTATGTCCTTTATACAAAATAGAATAATATTGATGTATTTTTTTGTGCATGTTGCCATATTATCCATTAATACAGTGTTCCCCTTTTGAAATTTCCATATTGTTTTTTTTTTCATTTCTTGATTTATATGCTAAATGTTTCCCTGATTTATTTGCAAATTCAATTTTTTTTGCTTTGCATAATTCATTTTATATCCATTTCTTTTATTAACATCAACAACTATTGTTGTAAAAAATTTAATTTGATGAGAAATATTTATCTTCCTTGGAAATTTAATTGTTCTTTTTTTATCTCAAGATAGCCTATATTTTCCTTTTTGAGTATTATATTGTATGCTATCCTCTCATAAAAACTTTACTTGCATCCCACACCATTCTTAAATCCATGGCCACAGTTAAATTATGTTCAAAAAATCTGTTAAATTCTTTTTATAATCCATTATTCTCTTTATAATAGTATTTCATTTAATCTCCATCTAAAAGTAGTAGCTTTCTCTTTATAAACCTAACTCATGAGATTATGATCAGGTTTTGGCAAGATCCCTACTTTAGAAATCATAGTAGCTAGATTCTTTGAAATCCAAAACTTATCTACTGGATCAAAATTGCGCTTCCCATGCAAAATATCTCACAAAGTATAGCTGCTCATCATATAACTGATAAAATGTATAGGGATGAGAAAAAGGTGGAAGCTGATCTGTTTTCAGTGCACTTATTCAAACAAATGAAGCATTACTGTGCCAATTTTATATACATGAAATGTTTAATCTCATCCATTTTGCATACACTGTGATTTTTTTAAAAAAGTAATTATAATAAAGAGGTTTATTTATTAATTGTTTAAAATACTACTGGAATATTTTTTGGTAACTGATGTTTTGCATTCAAATATTCTTTTACTAACAAAGAGCTACTTCTAATTGCCTGTTTGAAAGCATACATGGGAAGGAAAAATTATTCAGGAGAGCATACAGAGTGTTACTTTGGACAGTCACTGCTGTTTATGGCTTAAGCTGCTCACCCTCAACATGTATATATTGGAAAGTCACCATTAGCAAAGACCTAATGCAGGGGTATCAAACTCATGGCCCGCAGGCCAGATGTGTCATACACTGGCCACCCCCAGCTTAGCGAAGGGGGGAAAAGTCACAATACATCATGTGACGACGACATGACGATGCAAGTTTGACACCCCTGTGCTATGTGGATTTTACAGGAGTAAAATCAATGCAATTAAGTGGTGTCTGCAATCTCTCCATATATCAATTTAGAGAAGGCCAAAAAAAATCAAGATTGTGTCCCTTCCTCTGGAGTTGCATACATGATTCATACAAAAATGGTGGGGCTTGAATTATATGTCATAAACAGCATCCTGACTTTTCTGATATTGCCAACATACCCTGAATCAATCAACTGGAATAGTGTTTGGCAGCCTTGGGAACTTTAAAACATATGGACTTCAGCTGTCAGGTCTTAAGGTTGCTAAGGTCAACAAACATTGAACTAGAGCATGGAATGGTATGTGATAGTATGTGGTGAATTGTATGTGGTGAATTATACGCATGTGTTTATATGCTACAAGTGCTTTTGGTTGAAAAGTAATAATATTTACATTTGCTAACTATAGCCAGTATTATAATTTCAGTAGAGATATGGCTCTTTTGTTCAGAACTCATTGGTCTCCATTAATGGCTGATTAGTGAAAAGGGATAAATATATAGTCCCACTCTGGCAACACACATTTTTACAAGAAATGATGATTGGGACTACCTTACTAATAATGGGTATTTATATGCTGGAAAAAGTATTCAATGCCCAGTATAAGGTTTTTTTCCCTTCCTATGGAAATTATTTCTTAACACATCTATCAGGTCTGAAATACTTAATTGAGTCAATTAAAAGTGAGATTGTCAGGATTTCTGAAAAAAAGAACAATAAAAATAGCAGTAAACTGATTCTTCAGTGCATTTTGTGTCTTGAAAATATTTCTTGCAAATAAAAATCCAGATAAATGTATATGTAAATAAACACATAATTTAGCCCTCTAAATGAGCAAATATAGATTGTCTTATTTGCTACCAATTAATCTTCATCCCAAAACCTTAACATGTAATTTTCATTAATTGTCACTGATGGGGCATCATGGATAGACCTTTTTCTTCTGATGAGGAAAAATATGATATCAATTGAGCTACATTAAAGTTATTGATCCAAGATCATGTATTGTTGCATAGACAAAATTCAAAATAAGTAATATATGTGAAATAATCTTGATCAAACCTTTGAAAAGCTTGTAAAAAGTTGTTTTAAACATAACAAATGTTGTTTAAAACATAACAAATGCCAAGTCTCAATGTCTTTCAAACCCATAAAAATCAGAAAAATCATACAGCCTTTTATTGATATGAAAAAGATGAATTTATTGAGCCTCAAAAATTACAATGTGATATAGTTGCATGTGATACTTCTGAATTGTTTTGCATAAGTAATAATTATTTTATTAAACATTAAAGGTTTACTTTTCATACACAACTATATATTTGACTTGAGATTTTTTTCTTTAAATGTGTATTTTTTAATGTTTTATCACAACATATTTATACTGTACATTTTGTTCTCATAAACTATGATAGAATCAAATCAAATGGAATTCAGCTCATTTGGTATACCAAAGCTGACTAGTAGGAAAGCTTGGAAAATTGTCTGAAAGGAATGTTTGCATCCTTCCTGCTTTCTAATTTTCCTGACTTTTGTCTGTTATTTAAAAACTTTTTTGCATGGCAAAGGATTCCAAATCAGAGGAAGAGGAAAGTACTGGACCAACAAAATTCTAGAAACATTTTTTTTAATGCAATTCTATTAATGTCAGTGGAAGGAAATGCTGATGCTCGGTTGATATAATTTGGGGACATTAAGGAAAGGAGATCTTGAAACTGAACCCTATAAATCTTGGGTGTGCAACATTTAACCCTTGGGCAAAAATTGTGTAGCCCATGGCTTCATTTCAAACTTAATGAACTATGGAGATCTCTGACCAGATAATTATGATAATAGCTATGTATCTCTTCCCTCGAGTCTAATGTCTTGCAAAGGAGGGGAGATGGTGGGGAGAGAGATAGAAGGATGTCAGCAGGGAAAAAATGGAAATGTTACAGTGGTGGTAATTCCTCCACTTTTGCTCCTATGTCTAAGTAAAGTTTGCATCAAGCTTACCAACATGTGGCAGCCAATAATAAGGATTTTTCATCAGGTTCGCCTGATTCGCCCTTTCTGGATCGGGACTCGTTACGCACGGTCACTCATGCCCTTGTCACCTCCTGCCTGGACTATTGCAATGCTCTCTACATGGGGCTCCCCTTGAGGAGCACCCGGAGGCTCCAACTGGCGCAGAGTGTGGCCGCGCGGGTGGTAATGGGAGCGACATGTAACACCTCTCCTGCGCGAGCTGCACTGGCTCCCGGTGGTCTTCCGGGTGCGCTTCAAGGTTTTGGTTACCACCTTTAAAGCGCTCCATGGCTCAGGACCTGGGTACTTGCGGGACCGCCTACTACCACCAATAGCCTCCCACCAGCCAGTACGCTCCCATAGAGAGGGGCTCCTCTGGGTGCCGTCAGCCAAGCAGTGTCAACTGGCGGCCCCCAGGGGGAGAGCCTTCTCTGTGGGGGCACCTACTATCTGGAACGAGCTCCCCCCGGAGATACGGAGGATCCCGGATCTGCGCACCTTCTGCCGCGCTTTAAAGACCTTATTATTTCACCAGGCGGGCCTGGCCTAATTTTCTCCCTCTTTTATAAAAGATTTTTAATTTTTAAATATCTTTTAGTATTTTATACATTCAATTTTAAAATTGGTTTTAAAAAGTTTGGGGTTTTAAATTTGTCGGGGCCAAAATTATTTAATTTGATTTTATTCTACTTTTAAATTTTGTATGTATGTGTTTTATTGTTTGGCTGTGCACCGCCCTGAGTCCTTCGGGAGTAGGGCGGTATAGAAATCAAATAAAATAAATTAAATAAATAAATAAATAAATAATGTACCTGTGAAGGGAATGTACTGTACTTATCAAAATATAAAACATTGCCAATTTTTAAATAGATCAATGGCATAGCCAGTGTATTCCGTTTAGGCAAACTCCTAAAAAACCCATCACAAAGCTTTTATAGGAAACCCTTGGGGCTCTCTGGGAGGGCATCTGCTTGTATTTGTCTTCATCAGTAGACCTGCATTTCAAACTAATTCCTAAGTCCTGTTGTAGCATTGTTTACCAAACTAAAATAATTTGAGTAACTGAGTTTAGAATTGTAATCAGCAGAATTTTTATATGTTGGTATCTCTACTGTATATATATACAACTTTCATTGCTTTTCCAATTTAAGCTTGTTATCTACCAGATACCAGCATTTTTATTTAGTCTTGTGATCTATGAAAGGAGAACCAGTCTGGTGAACGGGTTAGGTGCTGGCCCGGAAACTAGGAAACAAGCCAGCTGGGCTCCAGCCACTCCATTTCTCATCCCAACCCACCTCACAGGGTTGCTGTTATAGGCAGGACAAGTACAGGTAGTCCTCGACTTATGATCACAATTGAGCCCAACATTTTGGTTGCTCAGTGAAACATTTGTCAGTTTTGCCTCATTTTACAATTTTTCTTGCCACAGTTGTTAAGTAAATCATTGCAGTGTTAGAAGGGTAATATGGTTGTTAAATGACTCTGGTTTCCCCATTGCTTTTGCTGATCAGAAGATTGCAAAAGGTGATCACATGCCCCTTGGATATTGCAACAGTCATAAGTATGAGTCAGTTGCCAAGCATCTTAATTTTGATCATGTGACCATGGGGATGCTGCAAATGTTGTAAGTATGAAAAGTAATCATACGTCACTTTTTTCAGTACCGTTCTAACTTCGTATGGTCACTAAACAAACTATTGCAAATCGAGGACTACCTGTAGATACGCTAGCTTGAGTTATATACAGTATATAAAAATGGCAGGAAGAAGAAGAAGGAGAAGGAGAAGGAGAAGGAGAAGGAAAAGGAGGAGAAGGAGAAGGAGAAGGAGAAGGAGAAGGAGAAGGAGAAGGAGAAGAAGAAGAAGAAGAAGAAGAAGAAGAAGAAGAAGAAGAAGAAGCATATAAATTTCTTCATCATTTGAAAGATGTCCCATTTTGAAAGATACTCCATCTGAAGCTAGAATAATGCTTTGCTAGTGTTTGAAAGATGTGGACTGGGGTCATAGGAGAGAATGTAGCATTCTGCTTTGACATATGCCTCAAAGGGAATAAACATCAAAGCAAGCATAAAAAGCTGCAATAAATAAAATGAATGTTACATAGTAGACCAATTTCATGTCAGATTCTTATTCCAAAACTATTTTTAAAATATTTATTCCTTCTAGGATTCATAATTTGAGATGAGCTGAATATAAAAGGATTGAATATATGCCTATTACCATAATTAAAATGAATATATTATTGAATCACAAATGTGTTCCCTTTGAAATAATCTATGTAATTCAGATATACTACCATCATAATAAATTCTTATCTCCTTTGTGTTCGGCTGTATCCTAAAATATAATGTGTTGGAAATTAAATATTCAATATTTTGAATCAATTGTGCATACATTCTTGGCTTACATTCAACATACAATATTAGATAAAACAATGTTATATTATGTGCAGCACCATTTCTTTGGTAAGAAATGAAGGAACCAGTTGAGTTTATTAGCATTCTTTCAGAAGTATGTTGTTTCCTTTTCAAAGACACTAACTGTGTCTTTGAAAAGACACAGTGTGTCTTTATAGTTGACATATTAGTCAACTTGTACATGAATTCAGTTAATGTTAACTAGTTGCTACCATTTGTATGACATGTAAACTGAACCACAAAAAAGTGTTTTAAAATGAGAAAGAGAAATTTTTGAATAAGAATACAAAAATGGCAACTTTATCCTTCCATAAAATTTATCACTTAATTTGGGTAGGATAGAGATACAAAAGTTGTTTTTCAAAGGCAAATTAAAACCCTTCCTTTATTAATCAGGTAATAAGTGATAAAGAACTTTAATAACAACAAATACTTAGAAGAAGGATTTAGGAATTTTAGAAGCATTTCATGAAAATCTTAATCTCATATATGCTTATGTTATTTAATAACACTTTAATCAGTAATAGTTTTCCAAAACATTGGAAAAAATTCAGAATGTATTCCTGTTTGAAATCAGACAGAGAATGTGGATTATCTTTTATAGACCTAATGCATCAATTGATCACAATACTAGGATTTTTACTAGCATTCTTAAACGGAAATTAAGAAACATACATCAAACAGGTTATAAAATCTATGCTTTGATGTCACTAGATGCTGCTAAAGCCTTTGACATGGTGGAATGGGAATATCTAAAAAAATTAGCTGCCATTCTATACATGGGAGAGAATTTTATCCCTGTGTTGCATTGATTATATAATCAGAATTATGTCACAACTGATGTTAATGGTTAGTAGCAAGAGATACAGTACAAATCAAGGTACTACAATAAATAGGGTTGACTATTATCATCTTTCTTGTTTGCATTTCTAAAAGAATTCTTAGAAAACAATCAAATATAAACGATATAAAAACTGATTAATATATTCTTCTTTGGAAATCCAAATTTCTAAATCTCTGAAGATGGCACTACATGTAACTCATGTTTTCATTGTTATGTATAAATTTACAAAACCACAGGTGTTATTTTCATTTAACAAAATATTGAAATAGAATGCTGAGGTAATGATAGACCCTTGTATCATTGACAATTAACAGGATAATTGTATCTTATTTAGGGATAAAGCTTCCCAAAGTGATCAATAAGACTACAAGACTGTTAACTATTCCCTGTTGACTAAATAAATGTATAATGACCTTAACAAGCAGTCTAGATTATGGATGAGTAGCATAGCTGCAATGAAAATGTTCCACCTCTAGACTGACTTATCTAGTCCAAGAAATACTAAGTTATAGAACAGAATAAAATAACAGAATTGGAATATGCTAGAAAGGATGGAGGAAAATATTATTTTATACAAAGAGGCAAGAAATCACGGTTCAATCAGATAATTATCCATGTGCAGAGAAAGGAGGAGACCTGGGTGTGCTTAACTTAAGAGGGCAATTGAAGGCTTTCCAGTAATTTATTTATTATGATCCAACAACTCTATGGCTCACTATGCAAATTGAGACATGTATTACAGAATCTACAAAACCACCATTTTTTTAAAGAATGTAAAGCTAAGCTATTTCTTCAGACAAGCATTCAAGCAGTCTAAGAAGAGAAGTGAATGATGCCTTGGTGATTTTTCTTTTACAATAACAGTGTTTAGTTCAAAGAATAGGACAGAGCAAATGTCTACCAACTAGGGCAGGGGTGCAAAACTCGATTTCATTGAGGGTCGCATCAGGATTGTGTTTGACCTTGAGGGCCCAGGGTGGGCATGGCCAGCTCGACGTCACTCATGTCAGGGGCACCTGTGGTGGCCGGAGTGCTCTGCCAATG